TATATCAGTCTTTTCTTTGTATCGTTATTAATCTATTTCACGACATAATTGTATTATCACTTAACTCCTTCAATTAAAACATAGATAAAACATTTTTCATTTCCAAGTTTTTTTTCCCAACCACTCATAAAACAAATCCCATATCTTATAGAATTGCTCATCTTCTTGTTCTCTAATTTCAAATGTCAATTTACTCATTTCAGCACACTCAAAGCAATAATTCTTGATATACTGACAAGTTCTACGTTTTTAGTATCCAGTTAAAAACAATTTTATCTTTACACTTTATTGATCTTTGTGCTTATGGTATAAACTTATGGATATTAAACCAAAATGGGTTAATATTGGAAAACATCCTATGAGTAAATATCCAGTCACCTGTTTATATTTGCAGCCAATACTTTTAAACATTCTCTGGGGGATCCAATACATGCGGAAAAGATTTTTTCATTGAATTAATGTAGTTAAGAAATCAATGGTGCTTCTTGCTTTAAGATGTGTTATTCCAACTCTTTATTTCAAAGTTTTTGCAAATAGTTAGTATATTTCTAGTTTATTAAAATACTATAAATTTAGAAACTTCCAAAACACATTTCAATATTGATAGGCATTTGAAGCACGCAAGTCTTAAAGCTGTCAAGTTACAAGACCCTTGAACCCCTAACCCTTTAGAAAAAAAACCCAGGGGTGCTCAAACTTGACAGCTTTAAGACTTGTGGACTTCAACTCCCAGAATTCCTCCTCTCGCTCTTCATCTTGATGACGTGAGGACGGGCAGGGGGAGGGAGCTGGAACCGGTTCTAAATGGCAGTGTAGATTTGTGGAACCTCTTCTATAGAAGAGGTTAGAACTGGCAGGAACCCACCCCTGTTTGCAGTAGACCTCAACTTACAACTGGTCACCTCTGTGACCAGACCTGATTTTAAGCAAATCCATATATATTATTTTGGATTTTTTTTTTTTNCCCAATAAAAAGACCTCTGATTTAAAGTCTATGTTTTTGTGTATCATTTTCTCCAACTGCGCAGGTCCCGGGTGCTCTGTCCTCACTGCTCCGAGGGCGCCAGGAAGGGACCCCGGCCGCGCTGCGCTCTCCCCCGCCCAGCCCCGCTCGGCGAGCAGAGAGCGGCCCGCCACGCGCTCCCTGCCCTAAAGACCCGCTGCCGGCTTTAGGAGTGGTGCCAAGCCGAGCCGCCCCAGGAGAAGCTGCAGCGAACTGGCGCTGCGCTCTTGGCCTCCGAATGGGGCACGTCAGGGCTCTCCGTGGGGAAACCCACAGTCACAGGCGGGGAGGTTTCAGCAGCCGGAGATTGAATGAAGAAATCTGGAGGTGCTGATAAAGTAAAGAATTCGGGGCTTGAGATTCTTTCAAATCAATCTTTCTACAGCTGCAATCCTGCATTTCATCTCCATGTCAGTCAGCAAATGCCCCAAAGAGTCACTGAAGGGAAAACAGGTCAACATTATGAACCTTTTCCTTCTACTCTGTGGGAGCTGGTGGTGGAAAGGATTTGATAGCCTCTCATCCCTTTTTTGCATGGCCTGCATCTACTACTGTGTGTAGATGTCCTTATCAATGCTGTTTTCTAGACTCTTTTCTAACAGTTTTTTTTGCATTTTTGTGCTGTGCAAATACATTAAAAGGCCACACAACAGAAGGTGTTTTGAACAAATATATTTACTGTACATTTGGAACCTGCATAAAGCCAACATTTCTTAATAGAGATTTCACTTGCTCTAATTTCTCTTGGATTTTTGCTGAAATTCTTCTAAAGATGCAGTTAAATAGCTCGTTGTGTAAAGTTTTTTTCCCCCTTCGTTCAGTCGCGTCCCAATTCTCATGGACTATCTGGACAAGTCCGTGCAGTTTTCTTGGCAAGGTTTTTCAGGAGTTGTTTACCATTACCTAAGGGAGACTAGAACTCAGAGTCCCCTGGTTTCTAGCCTGATGCCTCAGCCATGACGCCAAACCTGTTCTCTAAATAAAGTGTAAAAAAGCATAGGGGGTCTTTCTCTCAGCCGACTTAATAGCACAACATTAGAGCTTATTTTGAATGGCTGCCCAATCCGTGCAAATGCGACTAGCAAGGACTTGCACAGATAAGGAGGCTCATCTGGTTCTTCTACTTAGGTTCCCCTTTTTCTAAGACTTCCACCAAGAGAACCTCTTCATCCCCAGCAGGGGTGGGACTCATGGAAACCCGAACAGGATGATCGGGACTCCTGGAGGTCTTCGTCTCTGTTCCGCAGTTGTTGGGCTTGGGGGAACCAGCTGGTGAAGCATGGCTAGCTGCTGACTTGGAGACAACTGGTGTGGAAGTGGCAGCCTGAAAGAGAAGTCAATCAGATTGGGAATCATATAAGGGGCCTTGATAGGGAAACGGTGCTTGCCTTAAAACTGGGAGAAGCAACATCTTAGTCCAGTGGTTCCCAAACTTGGCAACTTTAAGACTTGTGGACTTCAACTCCCAGAATTCTCCAGCCAGCTCTGCAGCAGAGCTGGCTGGAGAATTCTGGGAGTTGAAGTCCACAAGTCTTAAAGTTGCCAAGTTTGGGAACCACTGTCTTAGTCCAGTCTTCTAGATATACAGTAGATCACCCACTTGGTCCCCTGCTCAGCTGACTTTTGAGTTTGGGTTACTTTAATTAAAATGAGATTGACACGGGAACAGGAATGCTCCAGAGCAAAATGTCCATTGAGCAGCAGAAGTATTCCTAGAAGATAAAGTTAACCTCAGCCAGCCCCACAAAAGATTTGCTCCCCAAAACAATTGAGAGGAACAAATGTGGTGGAGTCTACCTTAATGGCTGCTGGGGGTAAAGTGAAGAATCATCAGCATCAATGGTTCTTTGGAACTGGCCATGCTCAGCCATTTTGTGAAAAGCACCTGACGTGCACTCCCAATATATGTACCCACCAGCTCCAAATGATGGGAACTTCCTTCTCATCTCACGAAACTCCCCATTCAAGGTTCAGCTAGGATTTCCTCCAGAGTGCCGTGAGCCATTTTACCCATCTTGGTGTCTCCCAGGGGTTTACTGTACAAGCTGCAATTTTCATGTAATGCTTGAGCCACGGTTTATAAATGTTTGGCTTGCTGAGCCACAACCATGATTTAAAAGTCGTAGCAATTAGATCCCTTAATGCAGGGGTCTCCAACCTTGGGAACTTTAAGACTTGTGGACTTCAATCCCCAGAGTTCCTCAGCCAGCAAAGCTGGCTGAGGAACTCTGGGGGTTGAAGTCCACAAGTCTTTGGAGACCCCTGCCTTAGTGGACCAAGCCAAAAGTGAAGAAGGCTACATGGCTCCAGCCCAGCCCACTCCGACCTTCCCAGGCAGATTCCCATAATGCTCTCCTCTTGCCAGGCCGCTCGGAGGGGTTCAAGCACACCTGGATTGCCTTCAGCTCCTTCAGTTTCCAGCGGAGGTGAGCCAGTCTGCCTTTGCCCCCCATTCTGCCTGCAGCCACCAGGGCGGCTTGGAAGAGTTTGGGGGTCCCAACCCTGGGAGGGATTATGAGGACCTTCTCTTCTTTGGGCCTGGTGTTGTTCCTCAGCATTCGCCTAGAAGAGAGCAAAAGCACAGAATTGGAAATCGGCCAGATCTGTAAGAATAAGCTGCATGTGTGAATGCAACAGAATGACTGAATATCATGGCCCTTCTCCGATCTTCCTTCAGAGGCTCTTCTAAAAGTCGCGTTTCTGCTTCTTTAAAAGAGTTTTCTTTTAAAGTGGCAAATGGGAGGCTCGGTGTGAGTCCTCAGAATCACTTTAGATAGTGAGATGTGTGGCACATTTAATTAATTCTTTAATTAATGAAAAGCGTTGTGCAGTGTCTGCAGTGAGAAAAAAATAGGAAGATTGCAAACAGAAGAAACATCTTGTTTCCCACTTAAAATTCTTGGGGCAGAGAGCCGTACAGTCAAACCTCCTATGAAAGCTGTGGTTGTCCACAGAATTGTGCCAATCGAGAGCAGCCTTGTCATTTCCATAGAGTTGGGGAAATCATCCAAGATATCAAAACATGGATAATTGAAGAAAGTAATTTAAGCACCATCTGAAGTGAATCGTAGCCTCTCACAGTGCTGTCAAACTCTTAAATATGACTCATTCACTACCATTCATATATTGAATCCCTTCCCTGTCATAGTCTGTTAGTCCTTTCTCTGACCAGTAGAGAACCCCTTCCCCAAATTTGTCTTGTTTCATGGCAGGCAGGGGGAACAGAATAAAACCCGAAGGGCTGGATGCCCGTTATCTGAACTGTGTTAGGCAGAGCCATGTATTCTTGGGCAAGGAAGTTACGGAGGGGGGGGGGAATAAGGGGTCCTCATGGCAGATTTCTGGGGAAAAACTCAGCCTAACCTCTGGAGGAGAGGGGAAGAGAGGGGGGGGAAGGCTGGAGGGGAGGGAAAGGTTGAGGAGGGGAGAGGAGACCAGACCACACAAAGCCAGACCAGATCAGGCCAGGCAAGAGAGGGCATATTTCACCACCAACTGATCCTCTCAGCTAGCAAGAGCCTCTCAGAATTGGGCTGCCATAGAAGGGAGAGAAAACTGATTAATCAATTAAAGTAACCCTTTGATCGTCCTGCATCTCACCTAGCTTTCTTCCGCAGCAGCTTTTGGGACTCTGGATAGTGCACCAGAATTTCATTCAAATCCTTCTTATCCAGAATGAAAAGGTTAGTAAATCCATGTGCCACAACATTAGCGGTACGGCGATTTCCACCTCCCACAGCTAGTAAACTAATAGAAAAAGCAAAAATACAAACTCAGCAGCCGATTTCTCATCTCCTATTCCACAGAAAGGAACTTCATTCTACCTGCCTCCCCCATATCTTTCAAGACTATCATTCAGTAACAACTAAACAAATGTAAGATTCAGTAATCCCATAGTACGAAACCATTGTGCCAGGCCATAATGCCCATGGCAGCCTCAAGGTAACCTGAGCAGGAGGTGGGAAAAGACCATCTTAGATTTGTGCGGAGAAATGGGACTCAGAAGCTTAACCCAGATCTTAAGAGTCTTTGCTGCCGGAGGTCTTCTCAGCCAGGGCTAACCCTTTGCCTCTTGGAAGTCACCCAGGTAGCAAGCTAATAAAGGCTATTTCACCTATTTCATTTCCCTCCGTTTCTCCCTATTTATTCTAGTTACCAAGACTGGTTACCTCCCGGCAAGATTGTTTGAGAGTCGCAGCTTCATTCAAGTATTTATTTTATTAGGTTTATCACCTGCCTTTCTCTACTTGTATAAATGCAGCTTGTAAGTTTAAAAAGCAAACATTAAAATGAACTATTAAAGGCTAAGCGAAAGGACGTGTCTTTGTATTTTTTTGATACTGGAGATATGGGGTTAAGTGCACTTTCCTGGGGAGAGCACCTCTTGCATCCCAGGAGGTGAGCCTGTCTACAGAAGGGCTCCTCTGGGAATGGATAGACGCTTCCTCCCACAGTTGATCAAGCTGCTACAATCTCTCATTTTGCCTGGAAAGCCCTGGGGAGCATCATCATCACGGGTTCCTGGTTATTGCCCCTGTCAAGGGTTGCTCGAGATGAGACCCCTAAAGAATAGTCTGGGGACTTAGATGCTGGGATTGGAAGGGGAGAGTTGGAGGATGGCTGCCCTCTTGCCCACGCTGGACCTGCCACCTCACAGGCTTGTTGCTGTGAAATGCCATTGGGGAAGAAGCTCCACTGGGCCTCAGAGAAAAGGCGGAAGAGAAATGCAGCAGAGGAGAGAAAAGGAACAACCTTATTTCTCCAAACACAGAGCCGGCTTTCAGGGTCACAAGAATAGTTTTCCCATCCGGTCCCCCAAGTACTTGGACTTGTCCAACCTGAATGATGTACATCTCCCGGCCGATCTCTCCCTAAGGAAAGATGAAGGGGAAAAAGAGAAGAATAATTGGGACAACTTTTTCTTTTGAAAATTTTGCACAAATTATTATTATTGTTCATCACAGTCAGCCAGATGTTCAGACTGGATTTGGCATTTTTAACCCCCTAGCAAGTCCTTCCCGAAGACCTGGGATAGACAGATGTGGACGTTTGATGGTGTTACGGATACCGTCGCAGGATGTAAGCCCTTCCGTGTAAAGCTGCCTTTTGCAATTGATGGAAAGTTTGTCAATCCTAATGTTCAAGTGGTGCTCCAGTTGTTTTGGGATTGCGCCCAAGGCACCTATGACTATTGGTGCTACCTTTGCTTTCCTTTGCCACCATCTCGTGATTCAAGGTGGCTTTGAGCAGAGTTGCCTTGAAATTACAACTTGTGCATCCAAGAAAGTTGCGCCTGCAAAATGGAACTTCAGTATTTCTGTGGGTTGGGGTAGAGGTTTTAATAAGGGAGGTGTTATCGGAGCAACTTAAGGCTTTAAAAGGCTTAAAGAGTCAGGGCAGTCTTAAAGGGAAAGGGCTGAGCTCCCATCCTTCCCAATGGAGGCCCTGGAGAGGTTACCCTATCTATGCCCAGAGGAAAATTTCTGGGTTGAATATTGCCTGACACCAAGACTCCCACTTAGACAGGAAAGGCACTAATTTGCCATCTCTTCATTCTTGTGAATTTAGGGTCAGCAACTAAATATCAAATAATGACCAGCCTATCAGGAAAATGAATAAATGCCCCAGATGTGTATATTTGCAGATAATCCTTTATCTGATGTATTTTGTCCTATTTTTATTTGTGACTTCTGATTTTCAGAGGAAAAGGAAGAAATGAATGAGCTCTGCTACTTCTGTTTTGCCATTATTTTAGTTACTGGCTCGAATGCTGCTTTCCTTGACATCTAATAACTAGGAATTGTCTAATGGCTGTGATGATGGCCAACTAGTTTTGGCTACTACAACCCAGCATCTTGTTCCACTGACATTCCCACATTTAAAAGCAAACACCCCGGAGAACCCTCTTTGTGTCCCCTTCAGTGGCATTATCCCAAAAAAGCCAAACGTGGGGAGCCTGGGATGAAGGGCATCCTCCCTGTGCCTGGAACCTCCCTTACCAGCCTGACTGAGTTGTGCTGCAGGATTGCTCCCTGGTTACCTTTTTGCACACGTAGTCGTTAGGTAAGTACACCACGGATCGCAGCCTCTTCAGCATGTCAAAAATCATTTGCCGATCACAGCCCTGCCCCAAAGGAAGGAAAGAAGGCTTGGACTCTGGTCTTTTGGCCAGCTGAGAAGGAGGAGCCTCGAGTCAGCTGGCAGTACCTGGAAGAGTGGCACTTTGCTCACAATGCTGTAGTTCACGTCGATGGCGATGTCCAGCTTCATCTTTTCGGGCAGCTGCAGGAGCAGCTCGGATTCGTCTGCAAGTGAGGGAGGAGAGAACCACTTGTCTTCTGGCCTCGGGGTCCAATGGAAGAGAAGGAGCCCTGAGCCTAAAGCCTTCATGTGCCAATAACAAAGACGAGGGCCGGGCTGTTTGTCTCAGTGGCACAATTTAGAAAATGGACTAGAATTTTGCATTGTTGGAGCTTCTGCCATCCCATTACAGGAATCCTGCTACGGATTTAAAAAATCACTGCAACGAAAACACCCCCCTCCCCCCTAGCTGGAAAAGATGATCGACCACTTTTCTAAGCCAGGCAGCTTCCTCAGGATCCTGTGTCACCTGAGGATAAGAAGACATCTTCAAACAGTGGATCTAACCATACAGAGGAAGAACTGTCTCCAGAACAGGAAAGGGAATGTGTTTTTTAAAAACCAGGGCAGGGGAGTGACTAAAACATACGACGAACGGTTACAGGAACCGGGCAGGGCTAGTCTAGGGAAGAGAAGGACCAGGGGAGATATGAGAGCAGTCTTCCAATATTTGAGGGGCTGCCACAGAGAGGAGGGGGTCAAGCTATTCTCCAAAGCACCCAAAGGCCAGACAAGGAAAAATGAACAAGGAGAGATTCAACCTGGAAATAAGAAGGAATTTTCCAACAGTGAGAAAAATCAACCGATGGAACAGAAGTTGCCTTCAGAAGTTGTCGGAGCTTCATCACTGGAGGCTTTCAAGAAGAGACTGGACTGCCATCTGTCAGAAATTGTGCAGGGTCCCCCTGCTTGGGGGTTGGACTAAATGACCTACAAGGGCCCTTCCAACTCTGCTAATCTGGTTCTCAGGACAAGAACCACTCCTGCAGGTCTGCTGGACCCCAGGCAGGGGTTTCCTGCCTTAGTTGACAATCAGAGCAGACTGGGGAGGAAGGAGAAGACTGCTTTCCCCTCCAGTTCCTGCTCTCGGGGTTTGCTTAAATGCACAGATTTGAGGTTATAGCAGTTAGACTTATATACCGCTTCATAGGGCTTTCAGCCCTCTCTAAGCGGTTTACA